CTATTGGCAGTGATAGGAAATCCAACAGATTTTGTAATTGAATCGACCAAAAGGAATCCTAATGGAATCTACCGGATAAGGCCTTATTCGCTGCACAAGTTGTGAACCGAAATGACCACAAAGAACACCAAGGGATTCTATCGGAAGAGGTTTGCTTTCCTTTACAGGTTTCAAATCAAGCTGCCCGAAAGGAACGCCAAAGGAATCTATGGGAAGAGATCTTCCTTTCTTTACAGCTTGCAAACGATAATGAGCAAAAAGAACAAGAAGAGAATCTATCAGGAGAGCTCTTCTTTCCTTCACAGTTTGTAAACAGGTATGGGCTGATGAATAATCTACTATTCTTTACATGTACCTTTGGACATCGTAGAATTTATCATATATATATATATATATATATATATATATATGTATATGTACATAATGTATGTAGGGATGTAATAAAGGATTATCTGACTAAGAGAGCTACGTAAGACCTCATACGTTATAGTGAAAATTTGATATTATCCCTACCTATAAGATGTTTTACAAAGTCTTACGAAATCTTCATGACGAACATGATGAATAAAATATGGTTCACAGAGAGTGAGAGTGAGAGAGAGAGAGAGAGAGAGAGAGAGAGAGAGAGAGAGAGAGAGAGATTCGTTAATATCCGAAAGACGAATAAAAAGTGGATGAATCTGATCAATTGGCATCTATCTGATAAGCAGTTACTCAGACTGTTAACGGTTATTCTACTCGTTATGAATATTTGATGCGTTTGTTAATTAAAATTTAAATAATTTTATATTAATTGATGTACATTGCTATGTAAATAATCGGTTGAACATGAGGTTTCAGTAAGATTGTAAAGGTCTGATACTTTTAACATGAATTAATGTAGATGATGAGTATTAAGCGATTCGGTAAAAGCCGTATATAATTACTTTTTTGTTTTTTATATCGCAATATAATCATTTTATTAACTAGTTGTTTGCTTAATTGTTTATGTATGCATATGTATATGTTTATATTTGTGTCTAGTAAATTATATATATATATACATATATATGCATGTATTTGTGAATGATATTTATACTGTTGGCCACTTTATTTAACCAGTGTTTACACAATCCTCAAAATAGTGGTAAAACTATCAACTCGATGCTCTACGGTTCACAATTAGGTTCAACCATTATAATATATAAATATGTGAACATCTATGTATATATGTACATACATATATATATATATATATATATATATAAAAATTTATTTAAATTTATATATATATATAAATTTATTTACTTTCATTTTATATAAAATGTTTATATACATATTCCTATATTGTATATGTAATGGTCTTTTTTTGTTTTGTAATTTTATTTTACTTATTTTTTTTTTTTTTTATTTTTTTTTTTATTTTTCTTGATTCAGTTCATAAATAATAGATGCATAAATACAATAAATTACCTCCGTTATGATTGTTGCAGGCATGTACGGTTTATTTTTTATAATTTTATTTATTTACTGCTTTTTTTTTTTTATTTATATTTATATATTTTTTAAATAAAAAAATTAAATTATTGCTCTGAAAATATGCATTAAATTAATGTCATAAACATCAACCGTTTATTATTATGTGGGCAAGAACAGTAGCGCATAACGGAGCATTAATAACAGCAACTCACTAATGAATTGCATTTTCCTACACCCAGGAGACTGGTTTAATTGCAAATTATGAATTATAATAGAAACATGCAGTCTTTGTCTGTTGAATTGGCGTCATGGGTTTTCTTTTTTTTTCTTATTTTTTTTGTTTCGTTTTCTGGATTTTTTTGCAAAACAAGCGATAGTTGGCTCATGCTTTACCCTAAGAACGCATACAGATTAGTAAAGACGAGCGCGAATCGTAAACGCTTTTACACTTTACGGTATTTGTGAGGCGTTTTTTTTTTTTTTGGTTTTTTTTTAACATTGCAATGTCTTTGTTTCTAGAATAATCTTCAAAAATTCGAAAAACACGCTTTCATTTGATAATTTGATCAAAATCTCTCTCCCGAAAGCATGCTATTGAGATTTGCAAACAGGCAACCGCCTCGAGAGAACAGATCTGGAAAATCCGGGGGATAGGTCAGCAAATTATGCAATTTTGCCATTGTATATATTGACTTGGGGCGCGATGCATTTGTTCCAATATTAGTAAAAAACGCTGCAGCCATTTAGAAAAGTAATTTCTCATATGCAAATTTTCCGCTAAAATAGTGAATGCATTGCCTTTTGACATCATTAATGGATCAGTTGCTACCTCGTTTTGGAATTATCGAAAATACTTTTCAGGACTTTTTTGAATATATTTTGAACATTGCAACCAGCATTTTAACTGTTTACCACTTTTGTTGTTATCGTTGTCCTTAATCTAGCAAAAGATCGATAAATTGTTGTTATCGAAGGAGAAGTGTTGCTTTAATCTTTTTCCAAACCATTGCTGAGCTAGAATGGCATTTTTCCGCCATCGAAAATCCAACATACGGATCGGGAATTATTCCATTGTTAGGAAAATAACAAAAAGAGGAAAAAAAAACTCTACAGTCTACGTAAATGAATGATGAAAAGATCTTTAGAGCTTTAATAGACATTTTTGAGGGTTTGTATATAAAAAAAAAAAAATAAAAAAAATAACCCTTCGTTACCGAGACTAAGCGAACAACATGTTTTCTTCGACATAGACGAACAACCATACCAACTAAACTTCTGTTTTTCCTCCCTTTCTCCAATAAATTCGTTCCCATTCTCCAATAAATATTGTATCAGAAACAATTCGCTTTGAATTATTTTTTCATTAACTATCAGCTGTGTAGAGGATAATTCGTCAAGAATTTTGTGAATTGGAAAAGGAATTCTATTTGGACCCATTGCACTTTTTCAATGGCCTTTGTCAAATCTCTTTTTACTTTGCAATTAAGACAATTAAGAAGAGATCGAATAATACAAACTGTCAAAAGCATTAAACTTGAAAAGATTGAAAAAATAAATAAAATCTTTTAATTAAGAATAAGGTGTGGAGGAGTTTCTTCTCCAAGATCAGTTTTAAGTTTTCACTCTAAGAGTATAATGAGCGTTGAATAATTTGCATTGAAAGTATTTGCGAGCACTAGTTACATGTTCTTTTGATAGGATAGGAATTCCTTACCGGATATGTAACTGTATTTCCTTTGAGGATCTCTACTACTAGGATGTCAAATTTTTGTTGGCAAGAATGCGCATATCAATCAGACAAATGATAAGGCATCCTTTGCAAGAGATATATTAATCAAATGGAAAAATATCTGATAAATGCAATCGAGGCGGCAGCCTATTTGAGTTTAGTGTTTCTAACGTTGCTTGGACAAGCTTTGCTTTATGAAGTCGGGAGTTCTTGACAGGGCCACTAATCCTAGTAAGCGTTGCTGGTGACAATATTTACTTCCGTTGTTAGTCGTTTCGTGTATTTTTGCCACGAATGTCGCATTCTGTCTGTTCGCTTTCATCCTTCGCTACGATTCAAGAGAAAAGGACATTTTTTTTTTTTTTTTTTGGGCCAAAGAATTTTTTTTTGTTGC